TGACCCACTACAGGCAACTCTCAGTTTGACCTCGATTCAGTTCAGGATCTGGGATTTGTCTGGCACAGTCCTACTAAGCATGACCTTGTGGCTCTAGTATGTAATCATACGTATGTCAAGAACACAGAGGCAACTGTAGAGTACCTGAAAGGAGGGAGAGAAATTTATCCCCTTCCAATGCCTGGTTCACGGCTAGAGCTGTGAACCAGATGCCAGGAGTACCAGGAACTGTGATTTCCCCAGACATTTAGTAGAACTAGGGAAATGTCATTTTCCAGAGTCCCTGACATACAGTCCTAATAGTCAGGTGCTGGTAGGTGGATGAAGAGATTTACCTCTCCTCTTCTAGCTTACCAATGCTCAAGTAGAAAGAAGGATAAGGAAGTGGATTGTTGGAAGGGGAGCAAAGGCTGAGAGTAATGGCTCTCTGAAGAAGAAGAAAAGTTCCACTAGGTTCTCTTTTGATGCAAGGATACAAGCAAGCAAGCAAGCAAGCAAGCAATGTTTGACTTTCTAAGCAAGGAAATGCGAGTTTTGATAACGTTCAGTCACATCTTCCCATCTCCATCCCTCCCCATCCTCTCTCTCTTCATATTTTCTAGTGCGCAGCTCAGTTGGAAACAAAAATTTCCTAGCACCTCACTGACATACATCTACAGATTCCACAACAGGATTGAAAGTGCCAACACCTTGTCTCCCTAATATTATGACAATTCAGCTTTTCACAACAGATGTTCTGGCTGGTTAGCAATCAGCTAAAAGCTGAGGAAATATTAACAGGCTTTTTGCTTTGTTGTGTGAAATGCTCATTATCCAAACTGTCTGGCTGTGTGTACCCATCACTGATGTTTAATAGACAGAAATGCACACTGGGCTTAAGCAATTTGCCCAAAATGAAATGGCATCAGTAGGACAACAGAATTCAATTCCATGACTGCTCTGCTACCAACTCACTCAGTGGATCATCCTTAATGGTCAACTCAACAAATCCAATATATCCTCTCTACTACGACTCTTAAGTAATCCATGCAAGAGACATTCAGGGATGGATGCACTAAATCCATATATGCAAGCTTGACTTTGCAAACCCATTTTAATTCAAAGTGCCTAGCAGCTGCATACAGAGTCTATTAAGTAATGGCTCACTGCATGGAAGTTGCTTTTCCCTCACTCCAGTTTTAACTTTATTTCACCCCCACAAGTCTGACGAGCACAACAAGCAAAGGCTTTTAAGAGGCTGGCTGGGTTTTAACACTTTGCCTTCTTACTTGTTAACATGCAGCCATAATTTGTCAGCTTGAATTATATTTTACAGGTCACTAGTTACAACTGCATGGAAAAGACAAAGCATCACTGCATGTCAACAACATTAGAGCAACGATTGTGCCTTTCAAAAGTCAGGATAAGTATGTTGCAGAATAGGAGTCCAATAAAGCTAAGGGTTCCTTTAGAAAGCGATAACTCTCAGGTACTCCTCAGTGAGGAAAACTGTGTGATGCCTGCTTGCACAACATTCTTCTTAACACAGCAACTCAGAACACAGCAACTGTTCCATCATCACCTTACACAAAGACTGTCTCCATCATTGAGGACTGTGATATACTAGTAGTTTGTACAGCATGTATAAGTGGCAGACACCAATGGTTGTAACACAAAGAACCTGTCCACTCCAGTTGATCAACTGCCAAACCATTTGCAATTTCTTTCAAAGATTCCAGGTCAAGGATTTGTGAAGCCACTTTAATGAAAATGAATACAGGGTGTCTGCTAGCTACAAGAATACCCACCCGCTTAGATGGCAGTTGGAGAATCACAGTCTGAGCTTAGACTGCAGTGAGTGGTCACCCACCTGACAATCAACCGATTTCACATCAGATGATGAGCCTCTTTGAAGCTGTGTTCCCAGGGTGCCTTCACAGAGGCTTGTTCCAGGATCATAAAGAAACTTGCACTGAAAGCCTGCTAAAATGGAGGGGGTGTTCAGAAAGGGGTTTGCCCTAAAATCCTTTCCTGCTCCTGGGACAAGGCATGCTGGCACTGCCCATCAGTTGATCAGGCTCAGCTGATGGGCAGTGAGAGTGCACCTTGCCCTAGAAAATGAAGGACTGGAAGTTCACTACATCAGTACCTGTCCTGAAGCCAGAGGTGTAGTGGTCATGGGTGGAGGGGGTCAAAGACCCATTACTATTTCTGCAGCAAGGTCTCTGTCTCCAGCATCTAGAGCTGCCCAATCAACATGAATGAGAGCTTTTTAGCTGCTGAGAAGTCTGCTCATCCTTTGTGCTGATTAGATGCAGTCAGAGTGAAAGGAAGTATGTCAGTCACCAAGGACTGGCTCCTAGGATCACCCTGGGAAAATCACGCAAGAAGAACACCAAGGAAGAGTTGGTCTGTATGCTCCAAAGCTAAGCATTTAGGAACACTGAAAACACAAGGTGCTTCAGTGTCAAGAGAATGGTGTTTGAGTTCTATTATGTACAGTAGAACTTCAAGAAAACGCAACTTCTTCAAATCAACAGAAGATCTTTGAATACTCCAAATCATTTGCCCAGGTACATGCACAAAAAATAGTAGATTGAGCTGAAGGGCAACACATGGTGATCTTCATTGATTGTTGCAATGCATCCCAAATTAATATTGTATAATTATAAGATTATTGTATAAGCTTTGAAGGGGGCAGGGCTGTGAGCAGGTATGGCTGTGACTATCATAAAAGGACCCTGTACTTCTGAATTTGCTACTACCCTACTGCTCACAACTGATGCCATATATCACATTAGGTCTGGGGCAGGTGGATGTGGTTTGTCAGGAACAGCCTGATGGGCCAAAGTGAGATCCATAGCAGCCCAACAGTTGACTCACAGGCTGGAGATTCTCCAATCTTGGCCTAGAGGGGAGATGCTGTCTTCAAAACAGATTGGTTGTGCACCAGTAACCTACACAGCAAGCCCGTGTGTGTCAGACACCTAATGAATAGGTACTATTGTAGTCTTTGTGGGGGAAATGCAAGTTTTCAAGTGAGCACAGCATTTCAGAGTTCGGCTTCCAATTTAGCACAGACAAAAGACAGAACCTTCTGCCCCCAGAAAAAGAACATCTACATGCAGCTGAAGACATTTTGTGGAAGAAAATATACAACTCTCCAATTATATAACCATAAAACACACAGCTGCGATTTATTTTTAAATGTGAGGGAGTGAGGGAAAGTTTCCTTCTTACTTGCATTTATATAAGGCAGCCTTCACCAGCCTGGCAGGCTCCAGATATTTTGGACTAAAACTCCCATCAGTCCCACCTGGCTAGCTGGGACTGATGGGAGTTGTAGTCCAAAACATCTTAAGTTCACCAAGTTGTGGAAAGCTGATGTAATGACTCCTTTTATCATCTGTACCTCTGAAAACTCTCCTTTGAACCATCAGTAGCAAGCTGGGCTGCTACATAGCAACTCAAGGGCTGATTCAGCAGCTTAGCCTTAGTACATGAGGGCATCCTCCTTCACCCATCTCCTCTAATCTCTGTCTCTCTTCCACTGTCAGTTTTGTGGGATGGGTTTTAATGGATAGGAGAGGATATATTAATTGCAATTTATCCCTCCAGGTGCCCGTTGGGGGGGGGGTTGAACAGTGTTTCAAAATCTGGAGATGGATTTGCAAGTAGTGCAGAATCACCTATCCTGTATGTTCCTTCCATTCTTTTCAAGGAACTTCAACTGCTACCTTCAAGCCTCGTTCCCCTTGGAAGCTGCCATGTACAGAGTTAGACTACTGGTCCATCTAGCTCAGTACTGTCTGTACCTGGAGACTTTTCTCAGCCCCCTTCCTTCCTGGGTGGCTTTCCAAAGGCTAAATGGCAACAGCTGGTGGCGACAGAGGCAAAAAGTGGGTGGGGCCATTAATATAAATGTTTACCTTTCTCCAATAGGCTAGTTTCTGCATATGCTCATGCACTCCCTCTACCCTCCATCCAATCAAGAGACATTGTCAGAGTTCAAGGACCCAATCCAGCCACAGTATGAAGGCGGACCAGGGAGGGGTATGGCCTGGAGAAAGGGGCGTGGCTTGGGAGGGTACCGAGGACTAGATAGATAAGGCTTGGAGGGCTGCATTTGGCCTGGTCTTCCACACCTCTGGTCAGCACTGATTATGTACTGAACGGTAGTAACTCCTAAAAGAGTCCAGGATGACAGAGAGCTCGGGTGATACCCAATGAAGTCAATCCATGAGTAGAACGACTTCTGCTTGTGCAAAGGAACTTTCCATCCCACTCCCCCCCCCCCGCACTCCAAAACCTGCTTCAGAGAGTTGGGGGAACTTCCAAGGCAGATTTTTGGGGTTCTAGTGGGGAAGTTCTGTTGCACAACTGGAAGTTGTTCCGTGATTTTGTTGGATATAACGAAATGTTTTGATGGAATGTTGTCTTCCTCAAGGTCAATCATTCTGAGTTCCATCTGTCATAGCATTGCCTTTGTATGTTTAACAAGGACCCAGAATAATTAGGCCCAAGTTTTTCAAAGAAAAGAATTGTGGCTGTGATAGTAGCTGACTATCACTGATGCAAAGTTTGGGTTTTAGCTGTAGCTGCAAAGGACATTTCAGTCTTTCTCCCACCAGGGTGTATAAGGAGCACCTGCTGACCTGCAGCAGCATAGTTGTGTAATGGGAACTTCATTTGCATCCTTTCCCCAGGAGGTAACACAGAGCAGGTAACTCCTATGAAATCCAGTGGACTCATATGGGAAGAAGATTTATACATTTGCACAGCTGTGTGGAACATAGATGTGCAAATGTATAAATACCACATAGATGTGAATTGCATTAGCAAAACTTTTCCACCAAGCCTGCCACAGGGGAAGGTCCTTAGCACAGTGAGAGAACACATGTTTTTCGCACAGAAGGCTCCAGGTTCAATCCCTGGAATCCCCTGTAAAGGACATATATCATTTAATTTTACAATCAAATGAATACAAGCACACACCCACACTCATCAGTAAGACGACTTACCATTTTTGTCAGCTCGTCTGAAGATCTAGAATCAAAGAAAGGCACAGTTTTACTATTTTGTAATTGCTTGGCTGTTACAAATCAAACACAAATATATATCTTTTGCTTAGAGACAGAATCACACAGAGACAGAGGTGCAGGTCTTGTTCTGTGGTTACTTTAAACTTTTGCAGGGAGCAGGGGAATGTAACAGGGCAAGCCAGATAGTATGGAGCTTGCAGCAATTTCCCAATAAAAATTCTCTGTCCCCCCCTCTCTCTCTGCCCCCTGCCAGATGCTATTTGTCAGCAACTGGACCTAGGTATATTTCCCCTGCTTCACACAGTAAAAGGCAGGCACTGGGCATGGTGTTCCCAGCCTCCTCCCCATAAGGTGTGCTGCTGCACCTACATGTAAGTAAATTTATTTGCGTGAAAACATCCCAGCTTGAGGCTCTAAGTGGCATATTTGTCCTTCAATGTGCCTTTGTGGCTCTTTTAGCAGGTGCACTGCAGACATTCCAGAGCATTGCAGAAGCAAATGAGGGGCAATGAGCGATCAGGGAGAACTCAAAAGTTGTAGCAAATATAAGCTAATTGCACCGGAGGGGTTCTGTCACATACATTGCATCCCCAAATTTGTTGGAAAACACATTCACAGAGCAAGAGTGGAAGCAAGGGAGAAGCAGCCTTACATAAGAATACAGGTCTGAGCCCAGGGGAGAGAGAACCTTAAGGCAGGAAGCAAGGGCAGTATCACCAACGAAATACAGTGGAATGATATTTGATATTCTGGCATAAAAAGAGGTTGTCAGCAAGCAGATTTCCATGATCTTGCACTGCTTGTATAATTAATGTACAGTAGTAAAGAAAGAGACGTCGGCTCACTCTGCGTGGGAAGGAGATAAATTTAGATCAAAGCAAAAGCAGCAGAGAGAAGAGGGGGAATACATAACAACAGAAGACATCTTGCTGCAAATCAGGGAGGAGAAAGAAGGGAGGCGAGTGCAGCAAAACCTGGAGGAGAGATTTGAAAAGTGCTTGGTGCAATTTGACAATTAAAGCTTGGGTTACCTTTTATTTTTTTTAAGAAAAGAAAACCCAACAGCATACCTGTACAGTGACTGTGTTTCCCAACCACCTCCCCGCAACAAAGGTTCTGTGTCCTTGGCATCTATATGGCAGGCAGACATTCAACAGGAAAGAACTCAACATGAGTTGGTGCCGCTTGGTACATTTCAGGGAATGGCCAGACACAGGGGAAAGAGCAGTCATCATGGCGATGCAGTGCTGACTCCAGGTTTTTGGGGGCTTGAGCAATATGCTCTCAGTGGACTCCCTCCTTGAATGTGCTTGCCATTTCCTCCTCACCACTCTTGCCACCGCTCACTCATCTGACTCACTGAGCCTTGGCTCACTGGTAGAGCATCCGTTTTGCATGCAGAAGGGGCCAGGTTCAATCCCTGGCATCTCTTGTTAGGGCTGGGAAAGACTCCCTGCCTGAAATCTGGGGGAGCTGCTGTCTGTCAGTGTAGACAATACTGAGCTTCACACACTGAGTCACTTTGCCTGGCTGCAATATGTCCCTGAACTCTGACAATACCTCTTGCTTCCCTGGGTGAAGAGGAGTTTGTGTGTAGAAACTGGTGTGCCATACAGAGGTAAAAGGAATGTATGCCCATGGTGAAAAAGTTTCCGCAGCTCTGCCGTAATTAGTTTTAATGACTCTTATGTCCCACTGTCCCTGGGAAAATTTTGCGCAGTCCAATATAAAGCCATCAAGACACCATGAGGGACTTGGGTGGTTACAAAAATTGCATATGGCAAGTCACATGCTTCTACAGCACAGCAGTGGAATGCTTTCTCTCCTGAACTCATTCTCTTCCAAAGAAAAAACTTGATTAAACATATACAAAACAAAGCTGCTGTTATTTCCAGGAAGCGAACAAAAGGGTGTTGTAAAAGAAGAAGAAAAGAAAAGGTTTTATTCAGCCAGAGAACAACATTCTCTATTTTCTAGGTCATAACTCAAAGCATTCAAAGGTAACAATGGTTCGGTAATAAAAATGGTTGTAGGAATGGATTGAACTGGAAAACGTTTGATTCAAAAAAATATTGCTTGAGCAATACTACCACAGGCACGGAGAAGTCAATTTGATTTGATTTCAGTCTCTCAACAAAGAAATAGACTCCAATTGATGCTCAAATCCGAGTGAAGTCAGTTTCAAAAGAAAAAACTGATAAAATGCCACATTTCAGCAGATCCACCATTGAAAGTCCATTGCTGAAAGGGCAGCCCATGGCTAAGCTTTACAAATCATTGCTGAATTATAAAGTTTTGTGTTGAGATATGATTTAATTTCACATCCAAAAGGCTAGTTTCCTGCATGAAAGATGGATTGAATGGAATGTGCAACAGAGGAGGGAAAACTAGAGAGGAAATACTGTGCTCATAGTTACAGCAACCTTCTCCATCCCTGTGCCCTCCCACTGTTTGGGACTGCAACTCCCATCAGGCTGGGGCTGATGGGAGTTGTAATGCAAAACAGCTGGAGATCACCAGGTTGGTGAAGGCTGTCATACAGGGTCCTAGTCCTCCACTGTTTGCATCTTTATTTTTCTCCCTCTCATGCTCCCAGCAGGAGCCCAACACTAATAAACGCAATACAAATAAAATTATACAGTACTTCACCATGCCATTAACAAGCTAAAATGAATACAGTTTTGAAACTGCAGCCTAAGATTTGATGGTACTTTAACACCATAGTACCAAAAAGGTTATGAAAGAATGTAAACATATCCTTGAATTAGCTGGCCATCCTTGCATTTTGACCCTAATTGCTGGACAGTCACTGTAATTACAGTGACTCAATGTAGGAACTAATGGATTGCACAAGTAGTCATACAGGGAATCAGTTTGGAGTAACACCAAGGAAGGAAAAGAATCCAGAACTGGAGGAATTTCAGATGAACACTGACATCCATTGAATGGACACTGGGATCTGAAATGCCGCTCTCCTGCACCCATATGTGGGGGAGGGTTTTGACTGTGTAGTGGTTTACATGAAAAACCAATAAAGGAAAATTAAACCACCATCACCCAAATATTGACATGGGATCACATCCAACTAAGTTTGTAGACCGACAGAAGTTAATGGACCTAAGTTAGCGATGTTCATAATTTTCAATGAGTCTACCCTGAGTAGGGCTAAACATTTGCAACCCATAATTGCAAATTTCCTTTAGTTCTTGCTCCAGTCTACATTATTTGCAATGTTTGCAGCAGTGAACTGATGTTTTTTAAACATGTTTTTTATTGGATTATTACTACAACACATGCACACCACACTTAAAAAACTACAAATACAAACAAACTAAAAAGAAAATCTAACAAACTAAAAGAACATACACAATAACTGATAAACATATAGCCATAAGTCCTCAAATTTCTGTGCTTGGACCTATGTTATCTTATTATCTATATCCAATTGTTATTATATTCTAATAGACTTACTTCCTCCCCATCGTGGGTCAGATTTCATACTTAATAAACTGTTTCCTTTCTCATTTCATATTCCTGCCTTTACTCCTTATATTGTATTTATACACTGATTTTTATTATGCAAAAATCACTCAAAGCAAGTCCTCAGCAGTGAACTGTTTTAGCCAGTGATCCTGTGGGGCTTTTGTAGAAACCATGGAGAATGTCCTCACACCACAACAGTGGGGGAGTTCTTTTTCTTGACATGCCATGTTCATGGCAGCCTAAAGAGCTTTGCTGCTATATCAGGCTAGACCAAGTCTAGCATCCTGTTCTCACACTGGCCAACCATATGCCCTAATGGAAAACCCACAAGCAGGACCTGAGCACATGAACACTCTCTTCTCCAGGCATTTCCAGCAACTAGCATCCAAAGACATTGCTGCATCCGACAGGGGCTATAGGAGAAACCAGGTCATGTAGTGTGTAGAGTGGCCTGTGCACATCTAATCCATGCAGGCATGTTGTAGATGTGCATCAGAGCATACACACACATACACACTCGCACACATACATTCAGTCAGTCAAACTGTCTGCAAAGGGATAAAGCAAATTGGGACTCCAAAATCCATGGAGGGCATTTGGATGAGGAGAATTTCAAATGTACCCCTTTATAATAAAATGGAACTTTTGGCCAATAGCATCCAAAATATATGTGTGTGGGAGAGAACAGCAACAAATTCAATTGCAAAGATGAGCAAATATGCAGCTTTTCTGAAAGTCCTGGGAGAGGAGGAAATCTTGATTTAGACCAGAGCTGCAGTTAGCTAAATCTAAGTTTCTACCAGTGTTGTCAGGTGTCAACACCTCCTAAGCAAAAAGCACGTCAGCGTTGATTGGACTAATTTTGCTGTTCAGAGAGGGGATGCAGCATGCTGGGGGTGTGTGCTTCTGGAGACCAGACAAATAAGCAGCATTTCATCAGGAAGAAGAAGAAGAAGAAGAAGAAGAAGAGGAGGAGGAGTAGTAGTAGTTTGGATTTGATATCCCGCTTTATCACTACCCGAAGGAGTCTCAAAAGCGGCTAACACTCTCCTTTCCCTTCCTCCCCCACAACAAACACTCTGTGAGGTGAGTGGGGCTGAGAGACTTCAGAGAAGTGTGACTAGCCCAAGGTTACCCAGCAGCTGCATGTGGAGGAGCAGAGATGTGAACCCGGTTCCCCAGATTATGAGACTACCGCTCTTAACCACTACACCACACTGGCTCAACAACTCTCCTTCAGTCACCATTCCTGCAATGGAAGGTTAGGGAACCACAGACCTGCAGGTCATGTGTGCCCCTCAGACTCTCCCCAGGGTATGCCTATCTCAAGTACTTTTGCCTGGCTAGAATGTGCTTGAATGGAGTGAGCGAGTGGATGTGTAGAAACCTCTGTAGCTAGAATGTACAGTACCTGTTGCCTCACTCACTTCTTGCCTCTGGCCAGCCTATCAATGTCATGCTTTCCGTAACAGAATGCGGCCCTCAGGCTGAAGTCATTTCCCTCCCCCTTCTGCAGAGGGA